AGCGGTCACAGGAGCAGCAGCAGCTGCTGCTGCTGCTGCTCCTGCCTCAATATTATTGGTATTCTTCCCTTTTGTAATTTGAAGCAAATTTAAAGCAACTTAGTATTCATTGGCGTTCTTCTTGCTTCCGCTGCTTCCCCGTACTGCAGCAGCAGCAGCAGCACCAGGAGGCGCAGCACCAGCAGCAGCAGCTCAGCAGCAACCGGAGCACCAGCAGCAGCAACAATCTACCAAAGTTACAAACAGTTTTTTGGGTTCTTTGAGCCATCAGACTCAATTTAAGGCCTTTTTGCTTCGCCAGTCCATCTACGCTGCAGCAACAGCAGCAGCGGCAGCAGCAGCGGCATCCCCTGAGTCTCGACTTTGGCTGCAAAGCAGCAGCAGCAGCAGCAGCAGCGGCGGCAGCAGCAGCAAGAGCTTCTACCTCTGCAATGGGGTACATTTTAGCTGCTCCCGTGTGCGTGCCGGTGGTGCCGCCGGCGCCCGTGGTGGTGCTGCAGCAGCAACCTGCTGTGTGCGTGCTGCAGCAGCAGCAGCAGCAAGTGCTGCAGCTGCGGCAGCAGCAGCCTGTTCAAATCCTTGTAAAGCCCCCGCCCTCCTACACTCTCACAGTAGTCGAGCCGCCCCCACTTCTCATATCTTACCCGCAGCCCCCCGTGACTATTCTCATGTAGCTGCTGCTGCTGCTGCAGCTGCTGCCGCTGCTGCAGCAGCAGCTTTCAGTTCGGTCTAGTGCTGATTTGCTGGTGCCGGTGTTCTCCCGCTTCAGCTGCTGCTGGAGCAGCAGCTGAAGCACAGGCAGCGTTCGCAGTGCCCAGGCTAGCAGCAGCAGCAGCAGCAGCAACTGCTGCTGCAGCTGCTGCTGCAGCTGCTGCTGCAGCTGCAGTGTTTAGGCTTTGTATCTTTTCCACATTCCCAACAGTCCTTCAAGTTGTCTACGGAGCCAAATAATTATTTTATTTTCATTTAAATTTAATAAATCAAATAAAACAAAAACCCGCAACGGCACTGTTCTCGCGGAGCACCGGGTCCTGCTGCTGCAGCAGCAGCAGCTGCTGCTGCTGCTGCTGCAGCCGCTGTCCGG